GTCTACCAGTGACTGTAAAATGGGTCCAGCTCATGAGCATCAACGTTGGTATGTCTGCGTCTGACACACGAGGTCTAAACTGGAAGACAGTGCTCCTTCCCGGTACGAAATATTTATGGTAGAGCAGTATTCTCCGAGTAAGCTCATTGAAAAAATACACTCCTTTCAATCCTATCATTACTCGTTTCCTAATCCGCAGTACATTTCCTGGACAATGTTTCATTTTAACACATACGTTAACGCCTTGGTTGTATGTCATGTATTTAACGGTCTTTGCATTTTCGCGCATGTGCAAATCACATACAGGCCTTCCGGCGTGTCACTCGAGGATCTTATTAATAACAATACAGGTAGTCATTGTGCTGTTATTAACACCAGTAAATACTGCCGATAACTAGCACTGGCCGTGGATATATCCATATTGTGTTGCAAATCAACCATATTAACGATCATGTGGAGTTACTTTCTCTACACACCTAACTCGTATTCCTACGCGAGAGCAAATACCTTTAACAGGCTCCAGGCGGAACAGGGTATGGCTTACAAACAAAACAAATAAACAGTAATGCTATTCATATATTTGCCATTAAGACGTGCAGATTTGTGTTGGTTTCATTTGCTGGGGTCACTTACGCGGGCATTGTTTTTAGAATACGCACATAGTTTTTAACAAAAGTATCACTTAACGCCGTAATCAGTACGTGGATCTCAAGACAACACTTCGGAGTTGACGTATGGGTCGTAGATTAAGCAAGGCAAGGACGTGTTGAAGAAACATTACCCGCTCCTCAGTTAGATCAGTGACAATGAAACAGACGAAAGATCACGCCGCACCAAGGTTGAGAGACACATGAACCTGTGTAGGTAAAAACATGGACGCCAGCGCCTCCTTGACAAGAACCTCACGAAACCTTGGCATTTGCTCCAGTCAGTTATTTTCACTCTGTTTGACTAGACACTGGCAAATGGAGTAGACGATTCTGAAAGTGGAATATTTGAATATCTCTCCAGATTAAGAAGTCGTTATGATTCGGATAATGTTTCAAAAATAACCCAAACTAAATTGATGAATTGGACTTCCGGTGGCGCTGCGCTCATGAGCGGTCGGTAAAAATAAAATTGATGAATTTATAACATGTAGCTTTAACTGTGTCCAAACATGAATGCACTTACTAAAGGTTGTATGGATAATCGCATCAAGTGCAGATTAACGTGCGTTTTTGAACTTGCCTGTTTAAAAACTGGCCTACATCTCTTGCAGACCGAGAGTGCTCAAACGCTGATGTAACGTTTGATTTGTGACAGTGGTGCATTGTTTGACCAGAGTACTTCACTGTCATCTATGTGTCGAGTAGATGTTCACTGCAAATACATGTACCCTCTTCAGAAAACACGTACATCCGTCCTACTTTTCTCCGTCTTCAAAACAAATATTTAACAATTTTGTATAGGACAAACAGTGAAGCTGTAGAGGATGAGAATGCAAAACGAGTCCAACAAGTATGTGTTGTTTATATGGCTCCATTATATATGTTAGCAATTCCCTCTTACGAATAGAAGGTGCCAGTTTGACTGTTGCCTTAGGTGCGCAGCGCTGTTTCGTTACATATGAAATGCATACCTGCTGTGACATCCTGTTCTCAGTCGCCTGTCTGTCATCTGCTGTGGTCTCAGATTCCGGAATCCGTGTTTTGCTGTCCGACTATTGCATGTTAATGTTGGAGTATGGGCGAGTTACCTTATGTTACCTCTGGAAGAGAGGAGCTTAGTGTGGCATCTTTCTAAATTGCTTAGGACAAAAAAAATCAGGAAAATCATAAATGCACATTATACCTATAGTCCCAAGATTTATTAACAGTGAGTGAATAAATTGAGTTTAACGCCGCGTTTAACAGTATTCCAGTAATATCACGGCGTGTCAGCTTAATGTGGGAGGAAAACCCGAAGTGATGCAGGTCTCAGACGTTTAATACTTCGGTTAAACCCACGAGCACGAGTATTCTTTTGACACACCAAGAAACATAATCGGCTCGAACCGGGATTCGAACCCACAATCATAGGTTTCTTGCGTGCCCAAGGGACGTAACTCGGCACACCGAATCGCGGCGCCTAAGACGACTGGGCCACCCGTGCCCCCTGTATTAACAAGCGATATCCAGGGAAGGAAAGAAGGAGTCATAGGGTTACGTTTTCTACATCAGAACCTAAGCAGTGAGGCTTACCTTTATGGCCAAACACGGTACAAATCAAAATTAAAAGATCGAACGAAATGAGACGTCATGTCCGAAATTTCGCCATTGTAAAATCCATCTGGACTTAGGTTTTACTTCTTGCGAACCAGGCTCATTATTTTGGTTTGTGCTTGAACGTTAAATAACTGTGACGTCAGATACTGTGAATATGAAACCATGCTTGAGCATGTGGTTTCTGTTGTGCAAATCTGGAGGAGATGGGGTTAGGCGTTGCGAGGGGGGCTACTCCACAGCGCCGGCCGGGGCCCTCATTAGGTGACACTTCCAAGGTGTTTAGCACATTGAGAAACTGAACGTTGACAGCAACATGGTAATGGAGTGTAAATGTGCAAGGTTATTTGAGGAATGGCAACTATGAAAATCCTTCAGGTCATTGTAAACGATAGGTATTGCTGTAATAGATGGTGTTGTGGCAAGATTATATCACTTGTTTGAAAGTCTTAGTTCATAAGTAGACACTTGCTTCAAAAGCTATAGAAGTTGGATCATGTACCTGTGCGTACACCTCCAGTTGGCAGCATGCACGGGTACTTGTGAAAGTAGAACATATTAGACAAGTCACATCATACGATCTTATAATGTGTGAGCAACTACCTGGGCTCCTCACTGATCCCCCCCCCCCCCCCCCCCCCCCCCCCGGCACTTTGGCCATGCAGTATTGTTGACAAGATGAAAGAATAATGGAAAACGAGATCCACAACTGCTTCAACATCAATAACCTATTCTGCCCTTCATCTTCAGCGGGGTAGGATGGGCAAGTCGTTTATGCGTGGCAATTCTTTGTATACTTACGTCCCTTTGGCTTGCCAGGATCTGCGTTCGTTGGTTCGAATCCCAGATTCGCCCTGATAGTGGTTTGTCAACACTATAACCGTACTTATGGTTTGCGCCAAAGTGGTAAACGTCGGCCTCACGTTTCTCACATCACGTGTAACGGAAATAAAGTTCAGAGCGGCGACAACCTCTTTAACTCATTAACTCAATTCATCTCCTGGAGAGGTTTGATCGAAATTTTAGAACGTCATTTTCCTTTAAGTGGCATTTGGAACCTGTAGTATCAATGAATGAATTATGCCTGCTTGTTTTTTCATGTAATGTTTTTTTCTAAATTGTGTACGGTTTAATTCGCGGGATGTGTTCACAGAATCAAATACAACATTACAAAACTGTCTTTAGACAGGTAGGGGACATTTCCAAATTTGACTCATCAGTGACAAAAAATATATCCGATACAATTCCCTATATTGACGTGTTCCATATGTTCCCGGATTTTTTTCAGGTGAATAATTGACTTGGATTGCATGTGTTTGTGACGGGTGTCACCGTAGAGGCAGGATACCCCAACTTTTCGCAAACATCTGGTATCATCACTTTTTGATAGGGATTCATTAACACACGCTCATGACATAGTCGGAATCGTACGATCGACTCTCTTTTTTGGAAGAGATTTCTAAGGAATATGGAAAGGGTTTTGTCGCTTTTATTTACTAATCAGAGAAATGAAGATAAATAATGGGAAATAAATGATGATGGCTTCACCATAGAATGAAATTATGAAGAAGCATAACTCGTGATACGTACACAGTTCAACACATCAAGAAAAACACAAGGGCTACGAGGACGTACAGGGGATCGGTTACAGGGGAAGTTTTAAACGAAAAGGTAGTAAAACGTATGAAATTTTGAACCAAAGAAAGTACAAAGAAAGCCAACCGAATGTTCTGATAACGTAACTAATTGCTGACGTCATAGGTGACTTCATATCGTATTGACATCACCATAGCAGCAATATGACATTGTGGTTCAACTGACCAATCAGCATTGGGAATTGCCCAAATACACGTTCACATAGCAGAAAGTTATATCAACCCGAAGGAACAGTACGTCATTTCTATTAGTGCAAATTAAGACACTTGCCTGTACAAGTGAAGACGGCTTATTCACATGAATGACATGACATGTCTATTGTCACAAATACTCTGTGTCTTTAACGTTTGAAGATCCAGGGCAAAATAATTCTTCAGCAACCCATGCTTGCCTCATTGCAAGCCCATGGAACGCCCAATACTAGTTCTTCTCGGAGGCGTTTTGCTATCTACACAATACTGTTATAACATGTTTATAGTAGATTCTTTAGGGTGAGTCTTGTAAAATGCCATTGGGGAGAACAGTTCATGTATTGAACATCTCTTGTGGGTGGAGGGTTAGAAGTCTGAGATTCTAGAACAGATTACATAACAAGTGAGAGGGTAACGACAGGTTTATACCATAAGGTTGAGTGATCACAAATTCTGCCATCTGACAATCTGAATATATGAGGTGTGACAAGGGTTTGTACCACTGTCAGCAATATTTGAGCAATATGACCGTGGTTCACATCCAGAAGGAAGGGTCAGAATTGGTCTTCAGCAACCCGTGCTTGTGGTAAGAGGCGACTAACGGGATCGGGTGGTCAGGCTCGCTGACTTGGTTGATGCATTTCATGGTGTCCCAGTTGCGTGGATATATGCTCATGATGTCAATCATAGTCTGGTCCAGACTCGATTATTTACAGACCAGCGTCATGAAGCTGGTATATTGCTGAGTACGGCGTTAAACAACAAACAAACAAACAAGTCGTTTTTGCGTTCGTTGAGTGTTTATCGTTGGATCTGGCTGTACATGTTTATTTATTTGCGTGTTTATCGTAAGATCTGACTGTACATGTTTATTTATTTGCGTGTTTATTTATTTGTGTTTTCTTCTCAGCAGGAGGATGCCTCTGAAGCCAGCAAGAGATGGGGACCTTGGACGGACTGGTCAGCCTGCTCGGTGTCCTGTGGTCAAGGAATTAGATACAGGAAGAGGCTGTGTCACCATCTGGGCAGGTGGGTAGAACCGACTACTTACCTCAGTTTGTGTGGGTGGCTGAAACAGACTGGTCACTTCAGGTTGTGTTAGGGGAGGTGACTGGAACAGACATGTCACTTGGGTTGTGTCAGGGGAGGTGAATGGAACAGCCAGGTTGATGTTGGTTGTGTCAGGGGGAGGTGACAGGGACAACCTGTGCTGATATTGCTGTACCAGGGGAGGTGATAGGAACAGCTAAGTTACCGTGTGAAAGAGTTATACATGTATAAGACTGATAATTGTTTCCAACTTTAATCGTATCAAAATGTCAAAATGTTTTTTTAATTACGGAGGGCAGATGACTTTGATGACAATTACTTTGCGTATACGTTTCTAAACCTGTTTTTGCCAATTTCTTCTTTTTGTAGGCAGTCATCAGGTTCACCCAAATCCTCGTGTGATGGACCAGATAAACAGTATAAAGTTTGCAAACATGTAAGTATAACCAATCTCAGTAACACTGCATATATACGTTTCATAAATACAAATATACTTTATGAAATATTATTTTCACTGAGAGAAAGTACATGTACCATTCTGATATCACATGACTCAATGTGTTGCTGGCAATTTTGGAGAAAAAACCCTCTTCAGTCCCCTTGACTTACGCACTGAACAACTCAACAACCCAACACTGTCTACTAATCTACACAATCGTCAAGGCTGCCTTTTCTGACTGGCATAGAATCATGCCTTCCAACATTAGGTATAATAGCTACTTTATGTTCTATTAATATCTATCAATGCAACAAACATCAATAAATCACTAATATTGGTTCGGGGTTGTCGTCTGGGGCACGACAGTTTGTTGTGCAGAGTTACATCCCTTGGATGTGCCACCATCCATGAAGAGAAGTTTGAATGCAGGATCAGCCAGGCTCTGTATCCGGGTTTGTCAGCACCACGCCCTCATGGTTTTCACCAAATTGGGAAGCGTCTGCATCACTTTGGGCTGCCTCCGACATCAAACTGACATGCTGTGATATAACTGAAAATACAGTTAACAGCAAGCTGACTCAGTGATTGCTTCATATTACAACAGATATTGTGGAAACTATCAAAGCATATTATTTCTTTTCTTGGTACTTGCATCCTATCTCACACCTGTCCAACATTCCCATTTAGTATCTTTTCATATGCACAGAAGGAGCTAATATCATTATTTTGCTGTTTGTGGAAGTGTTTAAAGTAACAGTGATTCTGTAGCCACAAGTGAGGTGATATTGTGGTTAATGTTACGTCCAAGATTATTGCACTTATATAGCGACATGCGTGTGTGTGTGTCTGCTTGTACTAGTCTGGACAAATGCCAATTTTGTAGTGCTAGTCCACTGAGACACCATGCTGCAGTTTAACATGAATACCCCACTCAGACACAGTATACCAACTGATTCCAAGCCAACCAGTCCCCTTAATGCCGAGTGCCAGACAGGGTAACGACAAGTACCATCTCTTAACGTCTTTTGGTATGACGTGACCAAGATCAAACTCTGAACCTTCCGCTCTCCAGGCAGGCGCTCTACCGCTAGACTAAGGAGGCAGTGATAGCCTGAAGTTGAGATGCATAAATCTTTTGAATGTTTTAAAGTTGAAAATGACCTCATATGATCCATGTATTACCAAGGAAACTTTATTAAGGACATAAAAATGTTTGAGAATTCACTCCCAATATTTGAAACAGTCATCCAAAATTAAATGAGATCCATAAAAAATATTTTAATTCATGACAGCTGAGATATCAGAATGAGCACCACTACCCACACATCTCTTTAATGCTTGACAAACTTTACAGCAAAGCAAACATCAAGACTTTTATTGCAAATGTTGACATAATCTTTATGTCCGTCATTATATTGCTAAAGGCTTAAATGAACATTGAAAGACACAGTATGAGGTATAAAGTTCCCTCTAGTACACCTATCAAAGCAAGCAAGGCTACAATTACTTCATGCAAAGACATCAACCACATTTGTGTGAAAGTCAGACAGAGAAATCTTAACAATAATGGCATTCATCTGTACCCCAGCTGTTTAATAGCCATCTACATAAAAAGGAGAAATATAGAAGTGTTTTTTGTGGGATTAAATCCAACAGACGATATAGCTCTTGGAAAAGCCATTACTCTTTATCATGGCCAGAAGATGTGTGCATATAAATAATAATATAGTTTATGGTCATAACCTTATGTTGCGTAGTTTTCAATGACGTATAAAATGAACATTATTTTTATATTGAGTCTGGAATATATAATTACAGGTCACAGATTCTTGAATTTTATGAAGTCGTTTCATTTTTATATATTCTGGATTTGAGTTTTATTACTATATTTTCAGAAACTGTCATTTTTGTTTACCCCTGTAGATACTAACAAAATATGTTTGCATCCAAAATTCAAGAACAAATTGTTTTTCATTTATCATTTTGTCCACCAGTGAGGGTGTGAAGTGTTGTTTATAAAATGATCAGTTGTCTGTTCACCTGTGAGTACTTGGAAACATGGGAATACACACGAGCTATGTTGATTCAAGTCTATCATTTATGTGGAGTTGGTACAGTATATCAAAGCCCAGTTCAGTAAGGTTCATATGGAGGTGTTTGTCCAACATGTTTATGGAAGTTTTCATTCTGTCAGTCAGGTAGTTCCAGTTCATATTTTTGTAGTTTTCGTATTTTGCTCTTACTTCACTTTGACATCAGAATCTTTTCAATTACTCTATGTAACCAAGTGATACTACACTTTCAGCTTGTGTAATGAAGTATTGAAATAACGGATTTTGATCGAGAATATTGATTTGGTAGTACAAGGAGTTTCGACATGGCCAACAACCTGAGCTTTGAAGGACTGTGGCTATTGATATGTACACTGTAGCATGATACTCCCTATTTCAGAACTGTACAGGACATTATAAAGACCATAGGACCACAGAGTGTGAAAAATACAATGGACGATACTACGGAGGGAAAAGATATTACTGGGATGCATTTATTAATCGTAAGTACCATTTATTCATGCTTCCATTTTATACCTTTCATTCATTCAGGCACAGACTGTCATCTATTGGCATCTACAGGCACTGCAATTTGCCATGCTATTACAGATTTCGCCCTGATCATGTTTTGATAAGAGTAGAAAAGGTCTAGCACCGGCATCACTTTGGGCTTTCCTCCCACATCAAACTGGCCTGCGAGGATATCTGAAATAGTGTTCAAAGCAGAAATAAAACCAAACTTTCTCATTCTTTCATTATTTCATTCAGCATATGTCTGTATTTCATTCTTATATTCACCCATTCATTCATACTTTCAGATTCATTCACTCTTTCAGATTCATTAATTCATTCAGATTCTTTCATTCATTCATTCATTCATTCACTCTTTCAGATTCATTAATTCATTCAGATTCATTCACTCTTTCAGATTCATTCACACTTTCAGCTTCATTCATTCATTCATTCATTCATTCATTCATTCATTCATTCATTTCCATCCATCCATCCATCCATCCATCCATCCATCCATCCATTCATTCACTGACTACTATGCAGGTGTAACGCTGCCATAAACGATGTAACCAACACCCACTCCCAGACACTACAACAAGGCAGGTCTCTCCAGCACTTCACACCTGCTGACTGTGGAACGTGTGTACAGTGTTCAGTTATTCCCATTGCAGCTACCTGCACTCCCACCTGACACAGTGTCCATTGAGAGCTGTGTGTACTGCACAAGGTCAATACATTCGACAGGTCGTACAGCATCCCCTTCATGTGCCACCCAACAACAGGATGTAGCCTTCTGTCCTTCAATCTTCCAAGCCCTATTCAAATATAACAGTGGTATGACAACAATTGGCTATTCACTATCTACCAGTGAACACATAAACTCAGGATGGTTTTTTAACTATCACAAAGTATTACCGGTAGGGGACACGGAAGGTCAAGGCCCACTTGCACAATTAAAGTAGTCTTCACGGCCCAGGTCTGTGTTGCGCTGCTTGTGCATGTACTCAACATGAGGAAGATAATTAAAGTAGTCTTCACAGCCCAGGTCTGTGGTGCGCTGCTTGTGCATGTACTCAACATGAGGAAGATAATTAAGTCAATCAGGCTCAGTTTCAATACATATGTCTTCTTTTACAATCTGAAACTCAGTACAGCCTTCCACTGATATTTGGGCAGTGGGGTAGCCTCGTGGTTTATATGTTTGCTTGTCACCCTGAAGACCAGGGTTCCATTCCCCACATAGGTACAATGTGTGAAGCATATTTCTGGTGTCACCCGCCGTTATATTGCTGGAATATTGCAGAAAGCAGTGTAAAACCATACTCACTCACTCACTCCACAGGTGTGCAGAGTTGCATATCCTTGGTGTGCAGAGTTGCATCTCCTCAATGTGAAGAGTTGCATCTCCTCGGTGTGCAGAGCTGCATATCCTTGGTGTGCAGAGCTGCATATCCTTGGTGTGCAGAGCTGCATATCCTTGGTGTGCAGAGCTGCATCTCCTTGGTGTGCAGAGTTGCATATCCTTGGTGTGCAGAGCTGCATATCCTTGGTGTGCAGAGCTGCATATCCTTGGTGTGCAGAGTTGCATCTCCTCAGTGTGAAGAGTTGCATCTCCTCAGTGTGCAGAGCTGCATATCCTTCGTGTGCAGAGTTGCATCTCCTCAGTGTGAAGAGTTGCATCTCCTCAGTGTGAAGAGTTGCATCTCCTCGGTGTGCAAGGATTCGATAATCATGGTTTGAATCCCAAATGGGAACTGATTATGGTTCTTGGTTTGTCAGCACCATATTCGTTCACCAAAGTGGTAATTTAAATGTTGATAGCCTGATTCAGCTTTAGTATTCCCAGGTGGGATGTTCCCATGTTAGACTGATATGATTTTACGAAGATATGCAATGTCCTGAGAAGATCAGGGTAAGAACTGGTCTTCAGCATCCCATGCATGTCGTAAGAGGCAGCTAACAAGATCGGGTGGTCAGGCTTGCTGACTTGGTATCATAAAGAAGTAAAGTAAAGTAGGTGTGTCTACAGGTAGGATCCTGATGTAGGTATGGAAGGCTTTAAATCATAGTATTTCTTGGAATGAATAATAAACTGGTACTTTGAATGAATAATAAACTGGTACCGGGATGTTTAAACATATCTGCTCAATTGCAGAATATTTTAGACAATGTATCTCTGAACTTCTATATTCACTTTGGGGTACATGATATTGTATATTTTGTTTCGAGACGATTTCAATCTTTCTTTTTCCTGTTGAAAATTCATTACTTTTTATCAGATATCTTGGCCTGTTTCTCCCATGAAATCCTGCATGAAAGAAAGAAAATGTAAAAGAAATCCCACTAGTAAAAACAACTTCAAACAGAGTGTACGGTTTAATGAGGAACAATTTAAGCAGCTTGTTTTTCTTTCAAAGGTCGAATAATAAATGAACAATAAACAAATCATTAAAACATATTTGTCAGATTTTTGATAATTGAAAAAACCTCAACACCCATATTTTGAAATGTCATACATGTGTTTGGTGCTCTCAATATTTAATAATAATTAAAATGTTAAAGGGTTGTTTAGGTAATGGGGAAAAATTTGTTCACTCTTTCTGTGTGGAAGAAATTGCCAAGTTGGTAAGAGTTGCTTCCCTTGAATTAGGCAATCCATGCGGCTCCAGTGGTACAGAGTCTCACATTTAGCCTTGCTCCAAGGCTGTACTGCATGGCGAGTCCATTGGTGTACAGTAATTCTATCCTAAAAATAGGCAAGTCTAGATAAGCTCCAGTCTCTTATAGGGACAACCTGTTCTTATTATTTATACAATCAAGAAATTAAATTATTATTTAAACTAATAATTATTGCCTTAGAGACTTGTCATGTCACAGTCTGTTGAGTACTGATAAAGTACTGAACAGAGAATCCAGAAAATCAAATCTCAGCTGAGTGTTTCCTTCTGTCATGTTTATTGTAAACATGACCAATTCATACCTGTGTGATTTTACCTTACTAAGCTAAACATTGTAGGGGTGAACATGCAGAATCTTAATATGGACTAGGTGACCACACTTGTTATAGCAAGCATCATCATCATCAGCAGCAGCAGCAGCAGCAGCTGGACTAGTCTGTCTTACAGACCCTAGAGCATATATTCCACAAAACATTCATCACCATTCCACTCCTATCCCTTTTTCAGCTCTAGGATTTAAGAGACTTGAGGATTCTTTTATAGAATTATTATCCCCTGTGTCGAAGTGGAAGGAGGATATAGGAATGGGTGCTGTCCCTCCCTCTGTCCGTCAAGTTTCAGTTCCAGTGCCGAACTCAAAAACCATGAGAGATATCTTAACCAAACTTGGCACATAAATAGGTCTGGTGGTGAACTGGTGCCTTTTTATAGTTTGGGAATTTTGAAAAATTTATGTTTTGAGTTTCCATGGCAATGACTTTGACTAAGACCAGACATGTCATATAAGCTGGGATATGAGTATTTCATGTTTATTTATGTTTAACTTTATACATAGATTTATTTCAGGGACAAGTCAGCTTCAGCAGCACTTTAGCCTGCATCTTACCTGTGTGTCTTGTGTCCCCAGCCTACAGTCGGTGTGAACTAGCCTGCAAGGCCAAGGGTCCGGTCAGATACTACTCCCGCTTCCAGGAAACTGTAGAAGATGGAACGCCGTGTAAAATGGACCAGGAAGCCATCTGTATACAGGGCCGATGTCTGGTAGGAACGCACTCCACACACATATACGTACTGTCCAGAACATGTGTTCTATCATATATCTTATGTTTGACATGAAATCATAAAATCTTCTTTGTTTCCTATAGCCACTCACAAATTTTATTCAATATGGTGGCTATAATAGATGGTGAAAACTTACAGTATTAATATTCCTGTTTGATGCAGACATGAATGACTGCACTTGCAGTAAGAAACGAGATTACCATCCTTTAGCAACATTATTGTGGCTGTGCACGGACGTATATACGTCTTTGGGCTGTGCAAGGTGTAGCAGGGTGTGGATTCATCCCACAGATGACATCATTACCTTGTCACCTCACTGACAGTGTTCACTTATTTGGTCAACTGGACAAGGCATCTGACCTCTGACCAGAAGGTTCCTGTTTCGAGGCCCATTAAGGGACTAAATAAAATTCATGGCCACTACTTTCATGCCCAACTTTGGGCTGAGCACATTCATATTAAGTTTGAAAAAAATATGTCTCAATACCAAGGACAAGCCTTCTGTTGATGGAGGCGTATGTCGAAGGGTGTGGAGTCATCTCACAGATGACATCCTTACCTTGTCAGCTTACCAATAAGGTTAACTTCTTTGGTCATGTGGACAAGGTGTCAGACTTCCTATCACAAGGTCCATGTTTGGATTCCCATCACAGGATGAACAGGATTAATGCTTTATCTCATGTTGAAAGATGGCTGGTTAACACTCAACTGCTTTCATCAGAATGTCCCCTATGTCCACAGTCGCATTAAAGCACTGAATTGTCTTCAAGTACACTGGTGTGTGACACCTACACTGTCCATGAGCCAAGGGCTAGTGTAAATGCTTAGAGACTAGTCGGTACAATTTTCTCCTTCAAAAGATGACAGTAAATAACATGCATTGTACACAGCTCTGATTGTGAAATAAAATTCTTTCACTAACTCAAAAATGAGAATTAGTATCTATACACATCTGGTCATGAGTAATTAGTGACGGTGGGATGGCCCAGTGGTTGAAGCATCTGGTCATGAGTAATTCGTGACGGTGGGATGGCCCAGCGGTTGAAGCATCTGGTCATGAGTAATTAGTGACGGTGGGATGGCCCAGCGGTTGAAGCATCTGGTCATGAGTAATTAGTGACGGTGGCATGGCCCAGTGGTTGAAGCATCTGGTCATGAGTAATTAGTGATGGTGGGATGGCCCAGCGGTTGTAGCATCTGGTCATGAGTAATTAGTAACGGTGGGCATCTGTTCATGAGTAATTAGTGACGGTGGGATGGCCCAGCGGTTGTAGCATCTGGTCATGAGTAATTAGTAACGGTGGGATGGCCCAGCGGTTGTAGCATCTGGTCATGAGTAATTAGTGACGGTGGCATGGCCCAGTGTTTGAAGAATCTGGTCATGAGTAATTAGTGACGGTGAGATGGCCCAGTGTTTGAAGCATCTGGTCATGAGTAATTAGTGACGGTGGGATGGCCCAGCGGTTGTAGCATCTGGTCATGAGTAATTAGTGACGGTGGGATGGCCCAGTGGTTGTAGCATCTGGTCATGAGTAATTAGTAACGGTGGGATGGCCCAGTGGTTGAAGCATCTGGTCATGAGTAATTAGTGACGGTGGGATGGCCCAGCGGTTGAAGCATCTGGTCATGAGTAATTAGTGACGGTGGGATGGCCCAGCGGTTGAAGCATCTGGTCATGAGTAATTAGTGACGGTGGGATGGCCCAGCGGTTGTAGCATCTGGTCATGAGTAATTAGTGACGGTGGGATGGCCCAGTGGTTGTAGCATCTGGTCATGAGTAATTAGTGACGGTGGGATGGCCCAGCGGTTGTAGCATCTGGTCATGAGTAATTAGTGACGGTGGGATGGCCCAGCGGTTGTAGCATCTGGTCATGAGTAATTAGTGACGGTGGGATGGCCCAGTGGTTGTAGCATCTGGTCATGAGTAATTAGTAACGGTGGGATGGCCCAGTGGTTGAAGCATCTGGTCATGAGTAATTAGTGACGGTGGGATGGCCCAGCGGTTGAAGCATCTGTTCATGAGTAATTAGTGACGGTGGGATGGCCCAGCGGTTGAAGCATCTGGTCATGAGTAATTAGTGACGATGGGATGGCCCAGTGGTTGAAGCATCTGTTCATGAGTAATTAGTGACGGTGGGATGGCCCAGTGGTTGAAGCATCTGTTCATGAGTAATTAGTAACGGTGGGATGGCCCAGTGGTTGAAGCATCTGGTCATGAGTAATTAGTTACGGTGGGATGGCCCAGCGGTTGTAGCATCTGGTCATGAGTAATTAGTGACGGTGAGATGGCCCAGTGTTTGAAGCATCTGGTCAGGAGTAATTAGTGACAGTGGGATGGCCCAGTGGTTGAAGCATCTGGTCATGAGTAATTAGTGACGGTGGGATGGCCCAGCGGTTGTAGCATCTGGTCATGAGTAATGAGTGACGGTGAGATGGCCCAGTGTTTGAAGCATCTGGTCAGGAGTAATTAGTGACGGTGGGATGGCCCAGCGGTTGTAGCATCTGGTCATGAGTAATTAGTGACGGTGGGATGGCCCAGCGGTTGAAGCATCTGGTCATGAGTAATTAGTGACGGTGGGATAGCCCAGTGGTTGAAGCATCTGGTCATGAGTAATTAGTGACGGTGGGATGGCCCAGTGGTTGAAGCATCTGGTCATGAGTAATTAGTGACGGTGGCATGGCCCAGCGGTTGAAGCATCTGGTCATGAGTAATTAGTGACGGTGGGATGGCCCAGTGTTTGAAGCATCTGGTCATGAGTAATTAGTGACGGTGGGATGGCCCAGTGGTTGAAGCATCTGGTCATGAGTAATTAGTGATGGTGGGATGGCCCAGTGGTTGTAGCATCTGGTCATGAGTAATTAGTAACGGTGGGATGGCCCAGTTGTTGAAGCATCTGGTCATGAGTAATTAGTGATGGTGGGATGGCCCAGTTGTTGAAGCATCTGGTCATGAGTAATTAGTGACGGTGGGATGGCCCAGTTGTTGAAGCATCTGGTCATGAGTAATTAGTGACGGTGGGATGGCCCAGCGGTTGTAGCATCTGGTCATCATGCAGAAGACCTGGATTGAATCCCAAACATGGACTCAGAGTGTGAAGTCCACTCTGGACGTGAACCACGGTCATATTGCTCAAATATTGCTGACAGTGGTGCAAACTCTTGCCACACCTCATATATTCAGATTGTCAGATGACAGAATTTGTGATCACTCAACCTTATGGTATAAACCTGTTGTTACCCTGTCAGTTGTTATGTAATCTGTTCTAGAATCTCAGACTTATAACCCTCCACCCACAAGAGATGCTCAATACATGAACTGTTCTCCCCAATGGCATTTTACAAGACTCACCCTAAAGAATCGACTATAAACATGTTATTACGGTATTGTGCAGACAGCTAAATACCTCCGAGAAGAACTAGGCAATCCATGGGCTTGTTATGAGACCTAATTTTAGTTTACAGATTTCCATGCTTATGTTGAGACTGTAAACACATGCTAGACTATCTACATATATCAGCAGTCTTATATGCTTGTGTTTGTAAAGCAGATTTACGATACATCTGTGTTATTATTAACCTTCCATTGATAATTTTGCTCGCCTATTTTAAAATTGGGTTGGTATGAATATCCATGTTCCCTGTTCCTGGTGAGTGTATATTCTGTATCAATGTTTATCTTGAATTTTATGGATTTTATTGGAAACAGTAATTTACAATGAAATAGAGATCTACGTGCAAATATGCAAGTGAATGATAAATACATTTACCTGTGGGATTGTTGATCGAGAGGTAAGAAATCCCATTGCCTGAAGTCAGGGTATAAGTGGATCAAGTGTTGGAGTGATTGGCAGCGACAGATATATATGTACGAGCCCCACGGCTGTAAATCAGACAACATATCTTGATACAGGATTACAGATAAAACAAATCACACAAATCAATACCTCAAACTTGTTGAGCAAATGATTTACTATTCATGATAGATGTGTAGAAATCTATCATCAAAATAATCCTGTTGACAAGTACACAAACTACAGGCACTACCAAGTAGTGTGGTCAAGTGTTGACTTGGTGGACAGAAGGACCTTCTTGGGAGGGGAATATGTGTTTTTGTTTTTAAGTGTCATGTTTAGTCTTAAAGCCATAAATAACCCATGACATTATGCACTGTGTTTTCTACTTATGTACATGCATATCAGAAGTCAGGACGTCGTTTCCTTGATACTTGTGATGAGATTAGTTATGGCTTTAGAACAGCTAGGTCACAAGAACTACAACACATTGTTCAAAATACAGCCTTCATTTTTCACAATTGATTACTATTTGTTATAACAAAGATTTGAAGTTCAAGAAGCGAAGAAACACTCAAAGAACTCTGAATAGCTTTGTGTGGACAGAATTGTAGTTATGTAAGTTAGATACCACAAAACATATGTGTTATTTTTTCATATGATTAGATTGGGTTTTTTGTTTGTTTAACACTGCACTCAGCTATATTCCAGAAGTATGACAGCGGTTTGTAAACAAATGTGTCTGGACCAGACAGTCCAGTGATTGACATCATGAGCATTGATCGCAATTGGAATACAATGACATGCATCAACTAAGTCAGTGAGCCTGACCACCCGATCCCATTAGTCGCCTCTTACGACAAGCATAAGGAAAATTGCCCTACATGTTGTTGTTTTTAAGAGAAAAAAACATTCCAAAGAGAAATTGAACAACTTTATGAATATACTATTTAAAAGAGGTTAACATGGTTAAAGCACATCAGATTCTTTCATATTACCATAGTTACTTACCCTGTCATGGCAGTACTTTAGTAACATGAAAGAAGCAGGTGTCCTTGAACTTCTTTTGAGAAGTATATGTAAGTTCCTAAGACAGAGGCGACTAACGGGATCGGGTGGTCGGGCTCGCTGACTTGGTTGATGCATGTCATCGATCCCAATGGCGTGGATCAATGCTCATGACACATT